GGATTTAGGGTTTAGGATTTCAGGGTTTAGGGGTTTAGGGGTTTAGGATGTAGGGTTTCGGTTTATTGTTGAAGCGTCGTCCTAAAATTAGAGTCACCGCTCAATCCCCTAAACCCAAATAGCGAAACCCAATACATGACAAAGAACCTTCGTAGAATCCAAGTGTACGCTCATATCCCCCTTATCGCAAGCCTTCCGTAACCCTCATTTTCATACCCCACGCCTCCGAACAGAAACCCTAACCCTAAACCCCTAAACCCTAAACCCCTAAACCCCTAAACCCTAAACCCTAAACCCTAAACCCCTAAACCCTAAACCCCTAAACCCTAAACCTTGCAGGAATACGTACGTCAACCTGAGAGTTGCTACTGGTTCTCGTCGCCTTGTAAACTGGATGCTTGTTGAGGAATTTAGTTAAGTTATCATAACAGGGATGTATATGTCATAGCCTGCTTTCCTGGTTATGGTAGTTAGGTTATCATAATTATAACAGGGATCCTACACCCTAAACCCAGAGATTTCTTGACAAGAACCCAGTAAATCTACACTGGCATGCAGGACCCACCATGTGTTGAGTTCTAAAGCCTTTACAGTTTAGGGTTTAGGGTTTAGGATTTTTGGTTGAGGGCTTGGCAGGAAGATATGCCGAAACCTTAACATCCAAAACCTTAAACCTTAAACCTTAAATCTCAACACCCTATGCCCTGAAACAGAAACACCCCAAACCCTACACCTTAAGGCCAGAACCCTAGACCCTAAACCCCTAAACCCCTAAAGCACCGTCAACACCCCTAAGAACCCCTCGATGCCCTGGCGCAGGTGGATAAGCTGAAGAAGGCCTGTGAGGCAACTCTTCTCCGCCTACCCGCTTCCTGGACTTCGAAACTACGAAGCCCTTAACCCCAAACCCTAACCCTAACACCCCGGGTACCTACCATACAAGGTACTAGAGCCCCTTGGGCCCTTTGTAGTCGGTGCCTGGGGGTTGGGGTAAACCCTAACACCCTAAACCCTGAAGCCATAAACCAGTGAAGTGTGCCCCGGCCCTCTTAATCTGTCGAGGTTACCCCCGCCCGGCTGCTGCAGGTGGGGGGATCGTAGGTTGAGGGCTTTGGGATTGTGGCTTTCAGGGTTTTGGGGTTTTGGGTGACGCTGTGGGGGTTTCGGTTCCAGGTTTTTGTGGAGGTGTACGGGGTTCAAAGGTGGTTAAACAGGTTCGAGAAGGGCCCTGCACAGGGTCGCGAGAGGATTTGGCTTGGGGGAAATGTATAATGTAGGAAACTGCTTAAGAAAACAAGGGCCGTTGTTAGGGCTCTCTTTATGCATGAATCCTAGTATTCTGGGGTTATATGGCCAGGGTTTCTTAATCAGGTTCCTAGATTAGGGTTATATCACTCTTCAATTTGCATTCCGAAACCTCCAACGGTACTTCACGCATGGAGCCGGCTTGTTCGCTTGCCATTTGATACCCCGAAGCCCTAGGTTTAGGGCTTGGGGTTTAGCCATCATATGTTATCCTAAACCCTAAACCCTAAACCCTAAAACAGGAACCTCGGAGACGTGGCCCAAAGCCTGGAAGACGCAAATCCATCAGCGCCGAATATAGGGGCGTTCCTAATTACTCACATGATTTCAGGGGGTTCCCTATTATAATTATATAATGATCTAGTATGATGGGGCCCAAAACCCTATTCTTTATCATCAAGGCCCCTACAATTTAGCCCCTGAGACCTGAACCCGTCTAACCTCGCCAGCACAGCACTAGAGCCGGTGAGCTGTCATCCCAATCCCTAAACCCTAAACCCTAAACCCTAAATCCAAACCCTAAACGCTAAACCCCCAAAAAAGAACAAACACAACAGGCAGAAAAGGCTGGTCTGAAGAGCCAGTTCGACCGATGTGCTCGAGAACTGGCATCCAAAGGCCTTTTGTGCTGATCATTTTGGGGTTTAGGGTGTTAGGGCTTAGGGAGGGTTTAGGGTTTGGGGATCTTGGATTTAACAGGGTTTAGGGTTTAGGGCGTTAGCTCGGGGCTTTATGGGCTACAGTTGCTGCAGGTTTATTGGAAGTGGCGATGCCTTGTTATAGGGTTAGTATCTAGGGTCCTGCGGTAGCTTCCTTTGATTTTTGGAAACTTTCGTGTCCTGTACAATGTATGCTCGGCACAAGACCACAAATCTGC